CTGACCAAATTAGGAAGAAAAAACATGAAGCATTGTTTCCCAAGTAATAAATATTCTGACTCCTAGTTAGCAAAGGTCAATAACAAGACACCCAAACCCTCAGGGCATGCATCGCTCTCTCTTTCTTGCTATCATATTTCCAAAGTGTACTTTTTTATTTAATAAACTTTCCTGCTTCTGTTACTCATCCACTATGCTGAGTGTGTGTCCTTGAGTTCCTTCTCGTGACAGGACCAAGAACCTTCAGCAACTCCTTCAGGTCTGGCTGGGTCAGTTCCCCAGGGCCCTAGGTCTCTGGAGTTTACCCAGCAACAGGATGGTTTTAGTATTAAAGGAAACGTAGGAGTATAAAACAATGACATTTAGTATTTCCCATTCTCCCCCAAGAAAAATCTCAAAAACCCACTTCCTCCAAGAAAAACACAATTTTAGAGAGCTGTAATTAGAGATTAAATTGAGAGTACGTGGCGTGTGGAAAGTAAAATAAGATAAAAACAGAGAGGGAGGCAAACTATAAGAGACTTAAATACAGAGAACAAACTGGAAGGGAGGTGGATGGGGGATGGGTTAAATGGCTGATGGGCATTAAGGAGGGCACTTTTTGGGATGAGCACTGGGTGTCTTATGTAAGAGATGAATCACGGGATGAATCCTGAAGCCAATACTAAAGACTACACTGTATGTTAACTAACTTGAATTTAAATTAAAAAAAAACAAAGAGAGAGATTAGATTCAACCATCTGTTTTACAGAGGCAACTCAGAGGCTGGTTTGATTAGTACATTTCATATCACATTCTCGCTTCCCGGTTATGATTATAATCAGCAATACATTACTATTTTAAGCCCCTGGGGCTCTTTGTTAGTGCTATTGTAATTGCTATATTAGTAGGCAGCAAGAGTTGAAAAGGTGACTGTAATGGACTTCTTTTATAGTACAGTGAATACGTTATTGTGAAGTACTGAATGGGAACATCACCTATGAATGGCACCAAGCATTCTGTGGATGACAGCCCTAGTAATGTAACAAGCAACAACTAAAATCCCTCCATGATGAAAGTACTTAGCTATTTTTCATGCCTAACTAATTCCAGGTATGGAGACTTCACCAAGCAAGGGTGGGTAGTTGATGTTGGTAGAGGAGTGACACCATATGCTGAGACAGAAGAATTACAGGTCCTGAATTCTCACTTCCCTAGTTAATAAGTTTGGAGGTAATTTTGTATAGTATTTACACTTTGTCTCTGGGGATGGGGGAAAGCTTTCCAAATTTCACAGCTAAAGATGTGAAATACATTATGCTCTGTAGCTTTTCAAGAACTCTGAAGGTTTTGAAATTTTACCCAATTTGCCTACCACAGTCCCATGAACGCTAATAGAAGCCAGACAGCTGTTAGGTTAGAGATAAGGGATAATTTATTTCTTACAGCCATAGCAGTAATGTATCAGCATTTTTGTGCCAGTTCTCTGAGCCCCAATTCCCACACGGTGATGTAACGAAGGCCAGATGACATCTGCATACACACTGGGTTGCATTATAGGAAAAAAATAATGATATTAGGAAACCCAAATCTTTAATAATAGGCAGTAAGAATGTATGCCCTTTGCTCAAAGGGAGACCATCTGACTTCTAAAGTTGTTAGCAAACCTGCCCTTTATTCCAGAATCACACACTATCTCTATTGTCCAAGGTTGTTTCCTACACAAAGGAACAAGGCAGACAGTATCCCCCTTACAAGACAAGCAGAAACACAGCAAACTGTCTCCCAACATGGGTTTTTTATTAACTTACGCCTCTCTACATTATCAAAGTTACTTTTATACAAGTAAACCACAAGACGCAGAATGTAATTTCATAAAGATTCCACATTAGTGGAATTAACTAATGTTAATTCTTGCTGTGTAGCAATATTAGCAAAAACCTAGTGGGAATACACATTTATTATCTCAGTTTTTTATAGTTAGGAATCTAGACATGGCTTAAGTAGCTCCTCTGATTAGGGTCTCACAAGACTACAATCAAGATATTGGATGAAACTGTGGTCTTATCTGAGGCTCTAATGGGGAAGGATATCCTTTTTTTTTTTTTTAAGTATGTATGTATGTACGTATTTAGAAAGTGTGAGCAGGGGAGGGACAGAGAGAGAGAGAGAGAGACAGAGAGAGAGAGAGAGAGAGGATCCCAAGTAGGCTCCATGCTGTCCACGCAGAGCCCAACATTGGGCTCTAACTCATGATCCATGAGATCATGATCTGAGCCGAAATCAAGAGATGGATGCTCAACCCACTGAGCCACCCACATGCCCTGGGAAGGATATGCTTTTAATTTCACTCAAGTTGTTGGCACAATTCAGTTTCCTGCAGTTGTAGGAGTGAAGGATTTGGTTTCTTGCTGGCTGTGGGTTGGAGGCTGCCCTCAGCTCCAAGAGGATCGGTACTTTGGTATGTAGGGTCCCCAACATGGCTACTTGCTTCCTCCCAGCAAGGGAGAGAGTGAACAACTCCTGTAAAATGGCCAGTACAGTCTATGTAAGACATTCACATAGTCACTTATCTCATCACATTTGACATATTTATTGGTGAATGTCTTCCAGTGTATTTATGGAGGGGGCTGGTTGTTGGCTACTTAAGATTAATTTATGTGATTCAGTGAGGTAAGTCTTTCTGAGGGGACATTTTAGCTGAGAACTTGAACGATGAGAAGTCAGCAGCGTGAAGATGGGGGGGGGGGCCAGGG